CCTCTCGGCTCCTCTCGGCTCCTCTCGGTTCCTCTCGGTTCCTCTCGGCTCCTCTCGGCTCCTCTCGGTTCCTCTCGGCTCCTCTCGGCTCCTCTCGGCTCCTCTCGGCTCCTCTCGGCTCCTCTCGGTCCCCCGCGGTTCCTCTGGGTTCCTCTGGGTTCCCTCTCGGTTCCTCTCGGTTCCTCTCGGCTCCTCTCGGTTCCTCTCGGTTCCTCTCGGCTCCTCTCGGCTCCTCTCGGCTCCTCTCGGTTCCTCTCGGTTCCTCTCGGCTCCTCTCGGCTCCTCTCGGTTCCTCTCGGCTCCTCTCGGCTCCTCTCGGCTCCTCTCGGCTCCTCTCGGTCCCCCGCGGTTCCTCTGGGTTCCTCTGGGTTCCCTCTCGGTTCCTCTCGGTTCCTCTCGGCTCCTCTCGGTTCCTCTCGGCTCCTCTCGGTTCCCCTGGTCCCCCTCGGTTCCCCTGGTCCCCCTCGGTTCCCCTGGTCCCCCTCGGTTCCCCTGGTCCCCCTCGGTTCCCCTGGTCCCCCTCGGCTCCTCTCGGCTCCTCTCGGCTCCTCTCGGCTCCTCTCGGCTCCTCTCGGTTCCTCTCGGTTCCTCTCGGCTCCTCTCGGCTCCTCTCGGTTCCTCTCGGCTCCTCTCGGCTCCTCTCGGCTCCTCTCGGCTCCTCTCGGCTCCTCTCGGTCCCCCGCGGTTCCTCTGGGTTCCTCTGGGTTCCCTCTCGGTTCCTCTCGGTTCCTCTCGGCTCCTCTCGGTTCCTCTCGGTTCCTCTCGGCTCCTCTCGGCTCCTCTCGGCTCCTCTCGGTTCCTCTCGGTTCCTCTCGGCTCCTCTCGGCTCCTCTCGGTTCCTCTCGGCTCCTCTCGGCTCCTCTCGGCTCCTCTCGGCTCCTCTCGGCTCCTCTCGGTCCCCCGCGGTTCCTCTGGGTTCCTCTGGGTTCCCTCTCGGTTCCTCTCGGTTCCTCTCGGCTCCTCTCGGTTCCTCTCGGTTCCTCTCGGCTCCTCTCGGCTCCTCTCGGCTCCTCTCGGTTCCTCTCGGTTCCTCTCGGCTCCTCTCGGCTCCTCTCGGTTCCTCTCGGCTCCTCTCGGCTCCTCTCGGCTCCTCTCGGCTCCTCTCGGTCCCCCGCGGTTCCTCTGGGTTCCTCTGGGTTCCCTCTCGGTTCCTCTCGGTTCCTCTCGGCTCCTCTCGGTTCCTCTCGGTTCCTCTCGGCTCCTCTCGGTTCCCCTGGTCCCCCTCGGTTCCCCTGGTCCCCCTCGGTTCCCCTGGTCCCCCTCGGTTCCCCTGGTCCCCCTCGGTTCCCCTGGTCCCCCTCGGCTCCTCTCGGCTCCTCTCGGCTCCTCTCGGTTCCTCTCGGTTCCTCTCGGCTCCTCTCGGCTCCTCTCGGTTCCTCTCGGCTCCTCTCGGCTCCTCTCGGCTCCTCTCGGCTCCTCTCGGCTCCTCTCGGTTCCTCTCGGTTCCTCTCGGCTCCTCTCGGCTCCTCTCGGTTCCTCTCGGTTCCTCTCGGCTCCTCTCGGCTCCTCTCGGCTCCTCTCGGCTCCTCTCGGCTCCTCTCGGTCCCCCGCGGTTCCTCTGGGTTCCTCTGGGTTCCCTCTCGGTTCCTCTCGGTTCCTCTCGGCTCCTCTCGGTTCCTCTCGGTTCCTCTCGGCTCCTCTCGGTTCCCCTGGTCCCCCTCGGTTCCCCTGGTCCCCCTCGGTTCCCCTGGTCCCCCTCGGTTCCCCTGGTCCCCCTCGGTTCCCCTGGTCCCCCTCGGTTCCCCTGGTCCCCCTCGGCTCCTCTCGGCTCCTCTCGGCTCCTCTCGGTTCCTCTCGGTTCCTCTCGGCTCCTCTCGGCTCCTCTCGGTTCCTCTCGGCTCCTCTCGGCTCCTCTCGGCTCCTCTCGGCTCCTCTCGGTTCCCCTGGTTCCTCTCGGTTCCCCTGGTCCCTCTTGGTTCCCCTGGTCCCCCTCGGTTCCCCTGGTCCCGCTCGGTTCCTCTCGGTTCCCCTGGTCCCCCTCGGTTCCTCTCGGTTCCCCTGGTCCCCCTCGGTTCCTCTCGGTTCCCCTGGTCCCCCTCGGTTCCCCTGGTCCCCCTCGGTTCCCCTGGTCCCCCTCGGTTCCCCTGGTCCCCCTCGGTTCCCCTGGTCCCCCTCGGCTCCTCTCGGCTCCTCTCGGCTCCTCTCGGCTCCTCTCGGCTCCTCTCGGTTCCTCTCGGTTCCTCTCGGCTCCTCTCGGCTCCTCTCGGCTCCTCTCGGCTCCTCTCGGCTCCTCTCGGTTCCTCTCGGTTCCTCTCGGTTCCTCTCGGCTCCTCTCGGCTCCTCTCGGTTCCTCTCGGCTCCTCTCAGCTCCTCTCGGCTCCTCTCGGCTCCTCTCGGCTCCTCTCGGCTCCTCTCGGTCCCCCGCGGTTCCCCTGGTCCCCCTCGGTTCCCCTGGTCCCCCTCGGTTCCTCTCGGTTCCCCTGGTCCCCCTCGGTTCCCCTGGTCCCCCTCGGTTCCCCTGGTCCCCCTCGGTTCCCCTGGTCCCCCTCGGTTCCCCTGGTCCCCCTCGGTTCCCCTGGTCCCCCTCGGTTCCTCTCGGTCCCCCTCGGTTCCTCTCGGCTCCTCTCGGCTCCTCTCGGTTCCTCTCGGTTCCTCTCGGTTCCTCTCGGCTCCTCTCGGTTCCTCTCGGTTCCTCTCGGCTCCTCTCGGCTCCTCTCGGCTCCTCTCGGCTCCTCTCGGCTCCTCTCGGTCCCCCGCGGTTCCTCTGGGTTCCTCTGGGTTCCCTCTGGGTTCCTCTGGGTTCCTCTGGGTTCCTCTGGGTTCCTCTCGGCTCCTCTCGGTTCCTCTCGGCTCCTCTCGGCTCCTCTCGGCTCCTCTCGGTTCCTCTCGGTTCCTCTCGGTTCCTCTCGGTTCCTCTCGGCTCCTCTCGGCTCCTCTCGGTTCCTCTCGGCTCCTCTCGGCTCCTCTCGGCTCCTCTCGGCTCCTCTCGGCTCCTCTCGGCTCCTCTCGGCTCCTCTCGGTCCCCCGCGGTTCCTCTGGGTTCCTCTGGGTTCCCTCTGGGTTCCTCTGGGTTCCTCTGGGTTCCTCTGGGTTCTTCTCGGTTCCTCTCGGTTCCTCTCGGCTCCTCTCGGTTCCCCTGGTCCCCCTCGGTTCCCCTGGTCCCCCTCGGTTCCCCTGGTCCCCCTCGGTTCCCCTGGTCCCCCTCGGTTCCCCTGGTCCCCCTCGGCTCCTCTCGGCTCCTCTCGGCTCCTCTCGGTTCCTCTCGGTTCCTCTCGGCTCCTCTCGGCTCCTCTCGGTTCCTCTCGGCTCCTCTCGGCTCCTCTCGGCTCCTCTCGGCTCCTCTCGGCTCCTCTCGGCTCCTCTCGGTTCCTCTCGGTTCCTCTCGGCTCCTCTCGGCTCCTCTCGGTTCCTCTCGGCTCCTCTCGGCTCCTCTCGGCTCCTCTCGGCTCCTCTCGGCTCCTCTCGGCTCCTCTCGGTCCCCCGCGGTTCCTCTGGGTTCCTCTGGGTTCCCTCTGGGTTCTTCTGGGTTCCTCTGGGTTCCTCTGGGTTCTTCTGGGTTCCTCTGGACTTGGACGCTGGTCCCTTTAAGCTCGCAGCGGGAGGAGGCAGCTCTCAGACCGCTCCTCAGCGCTCCACCATCGGCCTCTTCTGGAGCTAACCTCTCACGGACCTGGTCCCAGAACAACCCCAGAAGAGAGCGCTGAACCCCGGATACGTGCCCCGCTCCCCCGGCCTCTTCACTCTTTTCTTACGGACATCCTGTCTCCGTGAACCGCCCGGGACTGCACACTTCTCCCACGTTAGCATCGTTAGCATCGTTAGCATCGTTAGCATCGTTAGCGTCTCAAGCCCTTCCCGGGTTCTCCCACAGGACACCAGCAGACATCTGAGATTGTGTAGTTTGGAATCAGCTTCTCCGTGACAGTTGCCATAGTAACCGTGCCCGGAACTCACTCTTTGGTTTAGTTTTGTAGTTGCTTTTAGCCCTGGGTCGGAGTTAGCATTTTAGCCGAATGTTAGCATGTTAGCCCAATGCTAGCATGCTACCTGAGTCCACGAAGGCCTCGTTCCCCGTGGAGCCTGTAGACTCTTTGGTGCTTTTTAAACTGTTAAAGTAGAGGCTGGTGGTGTTAGCATCGGCAGCTAATATCTCTGAGTACATTTCAGTTTCATTAAGACTACTTTGGAAGCACTTTTGCATGTTTTGCACTGGAATGTGTTTCTATCAGTTCATTCAGACTGTCCAAGAGTTTACATCCTGCTCAGATCCAACAGTTTGACTTAAGGTTTTACAGTTTTACAGTATTACCTTGTAATTGTAACGCAGCTTCAGAACACTTAATGTAATTATTAAGCACACTTTGAATGTGAGATTGTTCAACTTTAAATCTGTTCAGAGATTACATTCTCCCAATCTGATTTGTTCCTTCACAAAATAACTATTAATAACTTAATATATATATTTTTATTAAGACCTTTTTTTTTTACCAAGATATAAACCTCAAAAACATTTCCAGTGAATAGTTTTGGTTTGATGAAGTCTGTTTTTACGGTGATGAATGTCAGCGCCGTTACGTCACTAAAACCTCGTTAAACTCAAATGTGAATGTTGCTCTGACCTCCGTGTTGGACTGGGACATGCCTGAGATCAATGTATTTTGAAAAACCATTGAATGTATACGTTTTTCTACGACTCTTCCTTAAAGGACTTAGTGTTCCTTCTTCTTACGTCGGTCTTAACGTCAGGTGAACGGCCCCCGGACACTGCGGCTGTGGCCGGGCTGTGCTGAGGGAAAATCTGCTTTTTCAGACTCATTGGACTTTCAGAACCAAGGAAACCTCTGACCCCCACGACTGTTCATGAAAGCGTAGACCCGGTCTCAGAGCGTGAGGAAGACCACGTCAGACCCTCTTGGACATGTGTGTTGGGGGGGGGCCCGTGTGTTCGAGGGCACAGCTGCCTCAGGGCGAGGGGGAGATCCGGTAATAGTCTTTGGTGTCGTCCTGAAGCCTCCGGCCGCTGTGTCCAGTCTCGGTGACCGGCCGGCCCGCGTTTATGCATGTCCACTGGGGGCAGGTTTGACTTCGATGATGGGGGGTGGTACTGCGGGGGGTGGGACCAGGGGAAGGCCCATGGGAGGGGGGTGTGCACGGGCCCTCAGACCCAGGGGGAGTATGCAGGAGCCTGGAGCCACGGCTTTGAGCTGCTGGGCGTCTACAGCTGGCCCAACGGAGGGTCCTACCGCGGGACCTGGGCCCAGGGCAAGAGGCACGGAGTGGGGGTGGAAACCAAGGCCTGCTGGGAGTACCGCGGGGAGTGGACCCAAGGCCTGAGAGGCCGCTACGGCCAGCTCCAGAGCACCACCAGTGGAGCCAGGTACCAGTACCACTGAGGACCAGTACCACTGAGGACCAGTACCACTGAGGACCAGTACCACTGAGGACCAGTACCACTGAGGACCAGGACCACTGAGGACCAGGACCACTGAGGACCAGGACCACTGAGGACTAGGACCACACACTGAGGACCAGGCCTCTCTCTGGTCCAGGACCGGGCCTCTCTCTGGTCCAGGACCGGGCTTCTCTCTGGTCCAGGACCGGGCCTCTCTCTGGTCCAGGACCGGACCTCTCTCTGGTCCAGGACCGGGCCTCTCTCTGGTCCAGGACCGGGCCTCTCTCTGGTCCAGGACCGGACCTCTCTCTGGTCCAGGACCGGGCCTCTCTCTGGTCCAGGACCGGGCCTCTCTCTGGCCCTGTAAATAGGTTTATTCAAAGTGAATAAAACTGTGTTTGCTTCAGGTACGAGGGAACGTGGAGCAACGGGCTGCAGGACGGATACGGCACCGAGACCTACTCTGACGGAGGTAACCCCCAATGTGCCTCAGTCTGAGGGAGGTAACCCCCAATGTGCCTCAGTCTGAGGGAGGTAACCCCCAATGTGCCTCAGTCTGACGGAGGTAACCCCCAATGTGCCTCAGTCTGACGGAGGTAACCCCCAATGTGCCTCAGTCTGACGGAGGTAACCCCCAATGTGCCTCAGTCTGAGGGAGGTAACCCCCAATGTGCCTCAGTCTGAGGGAGGTAACCCCCAATGTGCCTCAGTCTGAGGGAGGTAACCCCCAATGTGCCTCAGTCTGACGGAGGTAACCCCCAATGTGCCTCAGTCTGAGGGAGGTAACCCCCAATGTGCCTCAGTCTGACGGAGGTAACCCCCAATGTGCCTCAGTCTGACGGAGGTAACCCCCAATGTGCCTCAGTCTGACGGAGGTAACCCCCAATGTGCCTCAGTCTGACGGAGGTAACCCCCAATGTGCCTCAGTCTGAGGGAGGTAACCCCCAATGTGCCTCAGTCTGACGGAGGTAACCCCCAATGTGCCTCAGTCTGAGGGAGGTAACCCCCAATGTGCCTCAGTCTGACGGAGGTAACCCCCAATGTGCCTCAGTCTGAGGGAGGTAACCCCCAATGTGCCTCAGTCTGACGGAGGTAACCCCCAATGTGCCTCAGTCTGACGGAGGTAACCCCCAATGTGCCTCAGTCTGACGGAGGTAACCCCCAATGTGCCTCAGTCTGAGGGAGGTAACCCCCAATGTGCCTCAGTCTGAGGGAGGTAACCCCCAATGTGCCTCAGTCTGAGGGAGGTAACCCCCAATGTGCCTCAGTCTGAGGGAGGTAACCCCCAATGTGCCTCAGTCTGAGGGAGGTAACCCCCAATGTGCCTCAGTCTGACGGAGGTAACCCCCAATGTGCCTCAGTCTGACGGAGGTAACCCCCAATGTGCCTCAGTCTGACGGAGGTAACCCCCAATGTGCCTCAGTCTGAGGGAGGTAACCCCCAATGTGCCTCAGTCTGAGGGGGTAACCCCAATGTGCCTCAGTCTGAGGGAGGTAACCCCCAATGTGCCTCAGTCTGAGGGAGGTAACCCCCAATGTGCCTCAGTCTGAGGGAGGTAACCCCCAATGTGCCTCAGTCTGAGGGAGGTAACCCCCAATGTGCCTCAGTCTGAGGGAGGTAACCCCCAATGTGCCTCAGTCTGAGGGAGGTAACCCCCAATGTGCCTCAGTCTGACGGAGGTAACCCCCAATGTGCCTCAGTCTGAGGGAGGTAACCCCCAATGTGCCTCAGTCTGAGGGAGGTAACCCCCAATGTGCCTCAGTCTGAGGGAGGTAACCCCCAATGTGCCTCAGTCTGAGGGAGGTAACCCCCAATGTGCCTCAGTCTGAGGGAGGTAACCCCCAATGTGCCTCAGTCTGAGGGAGGTAACCCCCAATGTGCCTCAGTCTGAGGGAGGTAACCCCCAATGTGCCTCAGTCTGAGGGAGGTAACCCCCAATGTGCCTCAGTCTGACGGAGGTAACCCCCAATGTGCCTCAGTCTGAGGGACGTAACCCCCAATGTGCCTCAGTCTGAGGGAGGTAACCCCCAATGTGCCTCAGTCTGAGGGAGGTAACCCCCAATGTGCCTCAGTCTGAGGGAGGTAACCCCCAATGTGCCTCAGTCTGACGGAGGTAACCCCCAATGTGCCTCAGTCTGAGGGAGGTAACCCCCAATGGTGCCTCAGTCTGACGGAGGTAACCCCCAATGTGCCTCAGTCTGAGGGAGGTAACCCCCAATGTGCCTCAGTCTGAGGGAGGTAACCCCCAATGTGCCTCAGTCTGAGGGAGGTAACCCCCAATGTGCCTCAGTCTGAGGGAGGTAACCCCAATGTGCCTCAGTCTGAGGGAGGTAACCCCCAATGTGCCTCAGTCTGACGGAGGTAACCCCCAATGTGCCTCAGTCTGACGGAGGTAACCCCCAATGTGCCTCAGTCTGACGGAGGTAACCCCCAATGTGCCTCAGTCTGAGGGAGGTAACCCCCAATGTGCCTCAGTCTGAGGGAGGTAACCCCAATGTGCCTCAGTCTGAGGGAGGTAACCCCCAATGTGCCTCAGTCTGAGGGAGGTAACCCCCAATGTGCCTCAGTCTGACGGAGGTAACCCCCAATGTGCCTCAGTCTGAGGGAGGTAACCCCCAATGTGCCTCAGTCTGAGGGAGGTAACCCCCAATGTGCCTCAGTCTGACGGAGGTAACCCCCAATGTGCCTCAGTCTGAGGGAGGTAACCCCCAATGTGCCTCAGTCTGACGGAGGTAACCCCCAATGTGCCTCAGTCTGAGGGAGGTAACCCCCAATGTGCCTCAGTCTGAGGGAGGTAACCCCCAATGTGCCTCAGTCTGAGGGAGGTAACCCCCAATGTGCCTCAGTCTGACGGAGGTAACCCCCAATGTGCCTCAGTCTGAGGGAGGTAACCCCCAATGTGCCTCAGTCTGAGGGAGGTAACCCCCAATGTGCCTCAGTCTGAGGGAGGTAACCCCCAATGTGCCTCAGTCTGAGGGAGGTAACCCCCAATGTGCCTCAGTCTGAGGGAGGTAACCCCCAATGTGCCTCAGTCTGAGGGAGGTAACCCCCAATGTGCCTCAGTCTGAGGGAGGTCGTTTGTCACTTGTTTGTTTGATCTTTGTGTTGTTGTATTTATATCGTTTGCTTTTTTGTGTCTTTGATTTAAATAAAGTTTATTTTAAGTTCAGTTCCTTTTTGTCTCATTTCAATCTTTTTTTCTCATAAATGTGACTCACATGAGACCAGGTGTGTTACTATAGATACCAGGTGTGTTACTGCAGATACCATGTGTGTTGCTGTAGATACCAGGTGTGTTACTGCAGATACCATGTGTGTAACTGTAGATACCAGGTGTGTTACTATAGATACCATGTGTGTTACTGCAGAGACCAGGTGTGTTACTATAGATACCATGTGTGTTACTGCAGAGACCAGGTGTGTTACTATAGATACCATGTGTGTTACTGCAGAGACCAGGTGTGTTGCTCCACAAACCATGTATGTTACTGCAGAGACCATGTGTGTTACTGCAGAGACCAGGTTTGTTACTATAGATACCAGGTGTGTTACTGCAGATACCAGGTGTGTTACTGCAGAGACCAGATGTGTTACTGCAGAGACAAGGTGTGTTGCTGCAGAGACCATGTGTGTTACTACAGAGACCATGTGTGATACTGTTGAGACCAGGTGAGTTACGGCAGAGACCATGTGTGTTACTGTAGAGACCAGGTGTGTTACTGTAGATACCAGGTGTGTTACTGTAGATACCAGGTGTGTTACTATAGATACCATGTGTGTTACTGCAGAGACCAGGTGTGTTACTATAGATACCATGTGTGTTACTGCAGAGACCAGGTGTGATACTGTAGAGACCAGGTGTGTTACTGCAGAGACCATGTGTGATACTGTAGAGACTAGGTGTGTTACTGTAGAGACCAGGTGTGTTACTGCAGAGACCATGTGTGTTACTGCAGAGACCAGGTGTGATACTGTAGAGACCATGTGTGTTACGGCAGAGACCATGTGTGTTACTGTAGAGACCAGGTGTGTTACTGTAGAGACCAGGTGTGTTACTGCAGAGACCATGTGTGATACTGTAGAGACCAGGTGAGTTACTGCAGAGACCATGTGTGTTACTGTAGAAACTATGTGTGTTACTGTAGAGACCAGGTGTGTTGCTGTAGATACCATGTGTGTTACTGTAGATACCATGTGTGTTACTGTAGATACCAGGTGTGTTACTGCAGATACCATGTGTGTAACTGTAGATACCAGGTGTGTTACTATAGATACCATGTGTGTTACTGCAGAGACCAGGTGTGTTACTATAGATACCATGTGTGTTACTGCAGAGACCAGGTGTGTTACTATAGATACCATGTGTGTTACTGCAGAGACCATGTGTGTTACTGCAGAGACCAGGTTTGTTACTATAGATACCAGGTGTGTTACTGCAGATACCAGGTGTGTTACTGCAGAGACCAGGTGTGTTACTGCAGAGACAAGGTGTGTTACTGCAGAGACCATGTGTGTTACTACAGAGACCATGTGTGATACTGTTGAGACCAGGTGAGTTACGGCAGAGACCATGTGTGTTACTGTAGAGACCAGGTGTGTTACTATAGATACCAGGTGTGTTACTGTAGATACCAGGTGTGTTACTATAGATACCATGTGTGTTACTGCAGAGACCAGGTGTGTTACTATAGATACCATGTGTGTTACTGCAGAGACCATGTGTGTTGCTCCACAAACCATGTGTGTTACTGCAGAGACCAGGTTTGTTACTATAGATACCATGTGTGTTACTGCAGAGACCAGGTGTGATACTGTAGAGACCAGGTGTGTTACTGCAGAGACCATGTGTGATACTGTAGAGACCAGCTGTGTTACTGTAGAGACCAGGTGTGTTACTGCAGAGACCATGTGTGTTACTGCAGAGACCAGGTGTGATACTGTAGAGACCAGGTGTGTTACGGCAGAGACCATGTGTGTTACTGTAGAGACCAGGTGTGTTACTATAGAGACCAGGTGTGTTACTGCAGAGACCATGTGTGATACTGTAGAGACCAGGTGAGTTACTGCAGAGACCATGTGTGTTACTGTAGAAACTATGTGTGTTACTGTAGAGACCAGGTGTGTTACTGTAGAGACCATGTGTTTTACAGTAGAGGTGTGTGTGTGTTACTGCAGAGACCAGGTGTGTTACTGCAGAGACCATGTGTGTTGCTCCAGAAACCATGTGTGTTACTGCAGAGACCATGTATGATACTGTAGAGACCATGTGTGTTACTACAGAGACCATGTGTGATACTACAGAGACCATGTGTGATACTGTAGAGACCAGGTGTGTTACTGCAGAGACCATGTGTGTTACTGTAGAGACCAGGTGTGTTATTGTAGAGACCATGTGTGTTACTGTAGAGGGGTGTGTGTTGCTGCAGAGACCATGTGTGTTGCTGCAGAGACCATGTGTGATACTGTAGAGACCAGGTGAGTTACTGCAGAGACCATGT